GGAAGGAAGGAAGGAAGGAAGGAAGGAAGGAAGGAAGGAAGTGGAGGGAGGAAGGAAGGAAGGAAGGAAGGAAGGAAGGAAGGAAGGAGGGAAAGAAGGGAGGAAGGAAGGAAGGAAGGAGGGAAAGAAGGGAGGGAGGGAGGGAGAGAGAAAGGGAGGGAGGAAGGAAAGGAGGAGGGAGAAGGAGGGAGTGAATGCAGTGGTGCCTGGACTCAGTAGAGGACCCCCCAGGTCCGGCACAGAGGGGAAGAGGGTGCTCAGAATCATTCCTTCAGGCCTCCTGTCACACCTCAGTCCGGCAGCAGTCACTGCTTAGCCATGAGAGCCAAGAACCTTTAAGAAGCACCTGCTCCTGGCCTTTGCTCTTCATGCAACGCATGTTCCTGAAAATAGCCAAGGTTCTTATTAACCCTTTTCCTCTCTCACTTTTCTTTACTCACTACCCACCCACTTTCCCTTTCTGTAGACTTCAGCGTAGTGGGATGAAAGCTTTTCCTCATTTATTTTAACTCTATGGAAGCACCTCTCACTCCCCCAAAAGTCAGAATACTTCAACAATATTGGCCATGAGCTCAATGCCGAGGGTGCGTATAAACAATCAGTTAGACTAAAACAATGATCTTCCAACACATGACAGCTGGTCATTAAAAGGAAGTCACCATCACTCGCACACTGGTGTCTTGGTTGCTGCTCATTTCTCAAAAACTAAGCCAGTTCTGCCCTTGACATCACAAGATACTTCAAGGGTAACTGAGGAAAGTGAATGTTATCATCTCAAACTCGCCTTGGGGCTTTTATCACCTGCTCTGAGAAAAAATAAACTGGAAAAGTAAATATAGCGAAGTGTGATGGCAAGTTTTCTGCCCAGTTTCACCAGGACCTGCTGACTCACCCTACTTACGCCCAGAGGGCCAGAGTGTGGTCTTCCTCAAGGGGTAGCCACATCCATTGATATGCTTGTTATTTAGCCAATTTATCGATGTGCTTTTTTACTTGCCAGAGGAGCTAGTTTTTAAATGTTATAATGCACTTGTAGGTTGAAGGCATGAAAGGAAACATTATACCCTCCTTTTAAAATCCATCAAAATTATGATTACCAGGCCTTTAAGATTTTTTTGATAATGGTTGTGGTAGTAACTCCGCAGTATGGGAAAGCAGACATTTTAAAACTGACAAATTAAATTTTGGGAATGAAAAAGAAAGCTTCAAGCTTAATGATCTTGATTTTGACTTCCATCTCCACCTTACACGTCAGAGACAAAAAGGTAAAAATACTTTAATTTTTAAATGTCATTAACTTTAAAGAGTTTGTTTGTTAGGTTGCCATTAGTGTTCCTAGAAAGGTGAAATTTTCCATCAATGAGAAAATCTAAAGTCATAGATTCTTAAATCACTGAGTCAAGTCAATTGTTGATGATCTAGTTATGGAAGAGTTTAATGACGCAGACATCCTATCATAGGTTGGCAATGCTATTCCTACATGGCTGGCACTGGGGTAAGGGCACCCCCCTAGTATTCTGCTCAAGACCCAGAGCAGAAGAGGAAGCCAAAAGACCAACAATGCCTGATGAGAAGTCCTGGAAGCAAGGCCATTGGTGGGCAAAGAAGGAAGAAAGGGGGGTGCATCTCCCTGACATTGTAAATACTACCTTTCCAGGCCAGGAAGGCAGCTGGGGTGAACTACCTGATCCGTCATCACGGATCAACCTGCTCTGTCCCGGCTCACTGTGTGCTCAGCTCCTCGGTCGTCTGTTGTCTTCCCATCTCCGGTCCCAGCCCTTCCCCTCCCTTCTCTGGGCATGTACCCCCATCGTTCCTTCCGCCCTCTCCTCTCTCCACTTAACAAGCAATGATATCAGCCCTCTATTCTACATCATTTTAAGTTCCAATTATTTTTCCCCTCCATATGCCGAACAGTTATTGGGCCAAGGCTTGCCATGCCCTTACCAGAGTTCCAGACTTCGTATTTATTGTGTATGAGCTGTTGGTGACTTGGGCGTCGAGCTTGGGATTCCCAAACAGGCGGGTGCCGTCCTTAAACCACGTGTATGTAGGAGCCGGGTTCCCTTCTTTGTCTTGACAGCGCAGCTCCACCACAGTTCCACTCAGAACAGAATTGGGGACTTCACACGTTGGAACTCCTGGAGCCACTGAGGGACGGGAGTCAAACGGCATTGGTTATTTATAAGCCAAACAAGGATTTTAACTGCCAGGAGATGATTGATCAGACATCTGTGAGCGAGACTGGCTACTTGTTCAAAAGACCTATGGCCTTTCTTCACGGGCACATAGCTAGACCACATTTGCCGGCTTCCTAGCTGCCTGATGGGGTCATGTGCCTGAGTTCTGTGCCATTTCCAGGCCTGCTCCATAAAAGCCTCCTGCACAGCTCTCCATTCATTCACTCCCCCACCCCCTCCCACTACCAAGTAGGTGTCAACACCCATGGTGACCTCAGAAAGCTGTGTTTTGATGATAACAGATCTACATTAGGTTGGGTCTCCAATAATCTCATCAAGTAGAATTATATAACCCCACCACTACAATCTCTGCCCCAACCATTCAGACTTGACCTCCATGAGAAACTTCTATTATGTTAAGCCACTCGCTGAGAGTACTTTTCTGTTATAACAGCAAGCATGATGTTAGCTAATACAACTATTCTTCAGATGAACAATCTCTACTTTTTCCCTCACCAACTGTTTTAATGTTTTATTACCAACTGTATTCAAAAGAAATCAAACCTGAGTGCATTTTTTCAGGCTCAGTACTCAAACTAATATTCTATTCTGGGCTGGGCTGGTGTGGCTCAGTGGTAGTGTCGACCTCTGAACCAGGAAGGAGGTCACGGTTCAATTCCCAGTCAGTGCCAGTTGGGGGCGACCAGGAGGCGGCCAATCAATGATTTTCTCATCACTGATGTTTCTCTCTCCCTTCCTCTCTGAAATCAATAAAAATATATAGTTTTTTTAAAAAATCCTATTATGCCTAGGACTGGCCAAATTAGAGAATCTGGCCGCAGGGATTTGTAAGTAAACCAGATTTTACTAGATAACTTAAACCCAGGGAAACCCAGAATTCTAAGTGGTGAGCAAAATTTTAAGACAGTCCCCCAAATTCCCCAGCCCTGGTATACATACACTTTCTCTCATTTATTCCATCAAACATTGATCTAGGTATCTAGGAGATGAAGTTAAGGTCCAAAATCCACTGCTTCTGACAGGGGCTGACTTAACCAACCACTCTTTTAAATGTGGTTTTCTCTGGCTCATCACAAAAGGGAAAATGAAAGATTCAAAGCACGAGCACAATTAGCCATTCTTTTGTTAGACTGAAGATTTCAGCCTTGTAAAACCCTGGGCAGAGAGCCTGTCGGGTCATGCTGGACGTCTGATCTACAGAACCGTGAGCTAATTAGTGGGTGGGGTTTTATGCTGCTAAATTTGGGATCACTTGTTATGTAGCAATAGAAGGCCAATACTCCAGCGGATTCCCCTGCAAGGTTTTCTGAATTTCTTCTATACTAGTATGTCACTAGTATTATAGAAAGAGCCTGGGTTATATAGAAAAAAGAAGTAATTTTATTTTATTATTTTATTTTTTATTGATTTCAGAGAGGAAGGAAGAGGGAGAGAGAGATGGAAACATCAATGATGAGAATCATTGATGGGCTGCCTCCTGCACACCCCATCAGGCCCTTTCAAGTCTGGGGATCGAGTCTGCAACCTAGGCATGTGCCCTGACTGGGAATCGAACCATGACCTCCTGGTTCATAGGTCGATGATCAACCACTGAACTACACCGGCTGGGCAAAAAGAAGTGATTTTATTCCTCTTGCTTGGTATTTTATACTAACATCTATGAAGGAGCAAAGATCATGTTCCTCTATCAACAGTAATCATGAGCTGTTAATGTCCATCAGTGATTTTTACAGTAATTAACCATAAGGCCTTTGGGTTAGCTCCAAATCCTGACCCTACCAGCTGTGTGGCCTGGGAAAACCATTTAACTTCTATTTCCTCATCTGTGAAACTCAGGTTGTCAGTGATGATGAAGTAAAATTACATATTTGAAAGGGCCTGATGCATAGGAGCTGCACAATAAATGCTAATTTCTTTTCTTTACCAAATAATTTCTAATACTTCCCCTGGCCTACCCTTTTGTTTTATGCTTTTTTATCATCTCATGGGATACTCTCTTGTGTGGTAGGAGAAGTACTACATGTGCTGAAAGCTATTGCAGGAAAATGCTCCTACGTACAGTGTAGGGCCATTAAGATTTACATCCATCTTGAATGAAGAGAGGTTTTGTGATCACGAGTTAGTAATAGTCACAGTTCATCAGCCAATGAGGTGAAGTGAGAAATGCTCGAGACTCTGCAGGGAAGATGGTGCTGGTGGTCTCTGTGACTCTGCTGCCTGGGCCCTGAGTTGCCCCACTGCCCCCAGGGCTGGGTGATGGGGAGGAGGGCAGGGAGCAGTAATCACACAGACACAAGTACATCACCTAATACTTCTAGAGTGACCGTGTTCTCTTCCAGCCTTTGGCCTTCGTTAGTTGGGGTGCTAACTTCACAACGGTATTTCCCGGCATCATTTCTTGTAACATTTTTGATCCTGATACTGAAATCCATCATCTGAGCTCGATCTTTAAAGTCACCTTTTAGAAAAAGAAGACAACGGTGTTGATAATAATACAAGTCACTGTCTATATACTACCTTCCTCAAGTCACTTCATTCAATACCCAAAGCAGTTTATTTTTCAATCAATAAACTTAACTTAAAAATTGTATATGGGTGCTGCTATTTCAAACTTATTTTTTAAATCACCCACCTTAGAGCAATCAATGCATGGCTGTCTTATTGTATCTGTACTCTAACCACTGAGTTATTGTGCAACAAATCCTAGATATCCTAGCATTTCTTTCATCCATCAACACTTTAAATCAAAAGCCCATCCCATATCCAATAGGAAGAATAGGGAGTAGAAATGTAAGACAAATAAAAAATAAGAGAAAGCACTGGGTAAAGGTAGTTGCATTTACCCTCCTCTAAGTCTTACTCCCTAAGCGTTGCAGTGATGGAGATACTGAAATACGACGAAGTTATTACAACTGAGCAGTGACCTGGCATCCCACCGGCACCATCTTGTCTTCCTTTCTCTCGAGAGGAAGAGCAATTGCATTTTACACCCTGGAGGTCTGAGCTGAGCAATGCAGGGTCCAAGGCCCCAGTGGAGTTCGCCTACTTCTGTGCTGTGTTCTCTGTTTCGGGGGCTGTGTGCTAGGTCTCCGTCACTCACTGCTGGTTTCATCTCCCACTTACAAACACGTATTTTCAGCAGCCAGCTATGTCCTGTTCTCATGCGTAAACTAAAGGGTAGCAGCTGTGCTTGGTGTTTGTTCTCTTGCTCTCACCTCGAGTCCACAGCTTCTTACCTCTGAGATCCTGGCCATAGTAGACAAAGGAGACACTCTGCCCCAGTTTCTTCCACTCTAATCTGGAGGCCGGGGTCCTCCTTGGGAATTTGCAGGTTAAAATAACCTCTAGAAACAACAACAAAAGAACTTATTTGCTAAATTGTCCCTCTGAAATTATATTTCACTTAATTAAGCAATGAATTTTTAACACCCTTAAGTTATTCCTTTGTATTTCTATTCATTCATTTCATCCATCCATCCATCCATCTATCCATTCATTCATTTTTTAAAAATATATTTTATTGATTTTTTTACAGAGAGGAAGGGAGAGGGATAGAGAGTTAGAAACATCGATGAGAGAGAAACATCGATCAGCTGCCTCCTGCACACCCCCTATTGGGGATGTGTCCGCAACCAAGGTACATGCCCTTGACTGGAATCGAACCTGGGACCCTTCAGTCCACAGGCTGATGCTCTATCCACTGAGCCAAACCAGTCAGGGCTCCATTCATTCATTTCATCAATCCATCCATCCATTCATTCATAAATTACCTCAACATGTACCACATGGCTTAACCCAAAGGTAAACTGAAAGCAGTATAGCTCTTCCACATAATAATTGTGTGACCCTTTGTTACTTCCCCTAGTTCTTGGGCACCAGTTACCATCTGTAAAATAAGATAACATCTCAAATTCTTGTGAGTCTTCAAATACAATAATATATGCACAGTAAGTACTTTAAAATGGCAGCAATGATTAATTATCTTATCCTTTCCAGCCTCAGACTTTGAGGATTTTATAGTCTGGAAAAAGAGGCAAATCAGATGATGCCATTTCGGTCCAATGTGCTGAGCGCCAGGGTGGAGGTAAGCTGAGCGTGCTTCATAACCAGTGCCCAGGAGAGGCACTAAGTCCAGCCCAGGCCATGCTGTGCACACGCACAAACGTCCCCTCAACTGGCTACATTCCCACTAAGATCCCTTCTTTGGTTACCCTCTACGAATGCATTAATACAAACCCAATATTGTCTTCTAACAAGTTGTTGAATCCTACCCCTTACCACAATCCAGATAAATTATGGTAAAATTCTTTCATATGTCTGATTTTGATGGTAAACAGATTTAATGCCATTAAAAAAAACCAACTCAGGATATTACATGATAAGGTAGATTAGAGAATAATACTTGTAATTCTATCCTGGTTGTATTAAAAATATTCACATAGGTATGAACAAAAAGCCTGTATAAGTATATATGAAAATATTAACCCAGTGATGATTTCTGTGTGATAGATTAATTTTCTTTTTGTTTTATATAGTTGCTAAAGTTTTTTTTAGTTCCACATGTATTGATAGAATTATAGAAATGAATAAAAGGTAATGAAAAATAGAAAGTAGGTTAAAGAAAGGCAAGGGGGAAAAGTTGTTTTCAAAGATGCCTAAAGATGTAAAAGCAGGTTTTACCTTACAGAGAGCCATCATTTTACAGACATGTTTACAGTTAGACTGCAGAGACAAACGCGTGCTGAGGAACTGGTCTGAGGAAACACAGTTCCATTCTGTTGATTAAGGAGAATGGGTGGGGACTTTCCGGAGTGTTGAGTTTTAGATAGGTTTCCTTCCCGTATTTTGTTGAGTTTCCAACAATTAAACACACACCCACACTCATTTTTAGCCCATATTCCTAGTTCTTAGGAATACGTTTACTTTCAATTGTTTCACATATTTAACTAGACACACGCACACCCCTGTTCCTAATTTCTCTCCTCACTGCTCTATGGGGAACCTTTGCAGAAATTACATTCGAAAACATAACCAAGGATTTTCCTAAACGCAGCGGACTCCGCTCCAGCCTCATTCGCACTGAGCACGTGGACTGTGGGAAATGGTCTGTGCAACTTGTCTAAAATACACTGAGTCCTTAGCGTGCGTCCGATACTGTTCTGGAGCCATGTCAAGGGGCAGCACAAAGGTCTCTGTCCTTTTGGATCTTACAATTGGCAAGAGGTCAGAAAGTCATGAAGTGAATTATATAGTATATTAGCATAAGTGTTATAGAAATAAAGTAGATCAGAGTATAGGAAGCATGGGAATTCTGGGGGACAGGGGTGCAGTTTAAAAAAGAATGTAGAGTTCAACTCATTTTGAAGGTGACATTTGAACAAACACTTAAAAGATGGAATTAGATCCCGGTTTAGTCGCTCAGCAGTTGAGCATGGACCTATGAACCAGGAGGTCACAGTTCGATTCCTGATCAGGGCACATGCTGGGGTTACGATCTTGATCCCCAGTAGGGGGTGTGCAGGGGCAGCCGATTAATGTTTCTCACATCAATGTTTCTCTCTCCCTTCCTCTCTGAAGTCAATAAAATAATAATAATAAAAAAAAGATGGAATTAGAATTCCTTAGAATCCTAACTAGAATGTCCTAGAACTCCAATTTAGAATTTGCCATGTGGTTCTTTGGGAGTGCGCTAAGCAAGGGATGAGCCAGGGCCCAGATCCTGACGTGCCAGCACCTTGACCCCCGGCCCCGTGAGGAACAGTAAATCTGGGGTCAACATCTGAGTATAAAGAACCAAGTGAACTTAAAAGATAGCTACCAGGGACTCTCCTTTTCTTCTCAGCCAAAAGTCAACACTCAAGGCCAGCAGCATTCTGCATCTAGCCCTCAGGGTCATTACGTCATCATACAGTAGTTCAGCACAGGCTTTGAAGTTAGACCTTTGCCAAATACCAGCTGTGTGATATTGTGCAAATTACCTAACTTGCACAATAGGTAAAGTTGTTGTAAGGTTTAAATGAGATGATGTATTTATGTACTTGGGTGCACATGGCACTTTTCATATAGTACATGCGCCATAAATGGTCATTACTACTTTCATACATGAGGAGCTTCTCTTAGTTGTAGTGGTAAGACTGCCTCGACATGACAGAAATCCACACTTTATTACCATTACAAATCCACCTAAAAAATCACTTAGATTTGAATTATAATGTTACCTCTGAGACAGCAAAGAAAATTATATAGAGATAAATCACATTTTCTCAAAATAAGACATATTGAAACAAAAAAAATGCACCAAGTTTTTCCATTAAGATGCTTATTTCATTTAGATTTAGAAAAGGTAATTCTTGGGGTTTTTTTTAAAGTTTAGTGCCTGTTTTTTTATTGCTTTTTTTTAGAGAGAGAAAGGGAGAGAGAAAGACAGAGAAACATTGATGTGAGAGCAAAGCATCAATTGGCTAGATCAATGATTCTCTCTCATCATTAGTGTTTCTATCTCTCTCTCCCTCTCCCTTCCTCTCTGAAATCAATAAAAACATATTTAAAAAAAAAATCAATTGGCTGCCTCCTGCACGCCCCCTACTGGGGATTGAGCCCACAGCATGGGCATGTGCCCTGACCAGGAATTGAACTGGCAACCTTTTGGTGCACGGGACAATGCCCAATCAACTGAGCCACACCAGCGAGGGCTAATTCTGTGTTTTGATTAGAACAAATATTTTGCTATGCTATGAATTTTAGTTTTTCTAGGATTCTGTACTGCTGACTATCTTCTGGTTTTCTTCTCTGTGCTCAAGTTAAAAATCATCAAAATCTTATATAATGCAAGAAGAGAATTGATACTACTAAAGTAATTGTGAAGAATTCAAATTACTTCTGTGGAGAAAAGCATCCTATTAAACCCTAATTTATAGCTCTCGGGGTTGGACACTCGACATAAGGCTGTTCATATAATTTATAAGCCTGACAGAGCCGCTGTTTTTTTTGTCTTATTCTGTTTTTAGCTCCACTATGGGAAGTGATAGAGAACAGCAGGACTGGAAAGAAGGAATTAATTCATGATTTACTGGTATTGACATCAGAGTGATAGAGACAAGAAGCTGAATGAATTGGATGGAACACACATATACATAAATCACAAAATATTTTAGACTGCAAGTGAAATCAAGTTACTATATGCAATATCCTAAAACTAAAAAGTGGTAGAAGATAGAAATTTATTTTTGCTTTATGGAGAGCCAAGTTGGAATGATTGGGGCACATAGAAAATGGAACCAAAATGTAATTCTTAATTAAAAGGAGCAGAAGTGAAACAAAAAGATAGAAAATACTTACTTGGGACTAAGACTAACATTTGATTGCAATAAAATATAGAAGAATTTTCTGCAGTAAACATAAAACACACATTAAAAAGTAACGTAGCCCTGATAGGTTTGGCTCAGTGGATAGAGCGTCGGCCTGGGGACTGAAGGGTCCGGGTTTGATTCCGGTCAAGGGCATGTACCTTGGTTGCGGGCACATCCCCAGTAAGGGGTGTGCAGGAGGAAGCTAATCGGTGTTTCTCTCTCATCGATGTTTCTGACTCTCTGTTCCTCTCCCTTCCTCTCTGTAAAAAATCAATAAAAAATATTTTTTAAAAAATGTAATGTAGCCCTGGCTGGTGTGGCTCAGTTGGTTGAGCATCATCCCATGCACCGAGAGGTCACCAGTTCGATTCCCAGTCAGGGCACAAGCTCAGATAGTGGGCTTGATGCCCAGCAGGGGGAATGCAGGAGGCAGCTGATTGATGTTTCTCTCTCACATCAATGTTTCTCTCTCTCTCTCCCTCTCCCTTCCTCTCTACCTAAAATCAATAAAAACATATTTTTTAAAAAGTAATGTAAATGATACAGAGTTTTAGTATGGAGTGATGTTTTGAAACTAGATGGAGGTAGTGGTTGCACAACATTGTGAATGTACAAATGCCACTAAATTGTTTACTTTAACACAGTCTATTTTATGTTATGTGAGTTTCTCCTGAATAAGCTTTTTATTTATTATCATTATTATTATTTTGTTAATCCTCACCTGAGGGTATTTTTTCCATTGATATTTAGAGATACTAGAAGGGAGGGAGAGAGAGAAAGATAGAAACACTGATGTGAGAGAGAGACATATAGATTGGTTGCCTCCTGCATGTGCCCAGACCAGGCCAGGGGAATCGAACCTGTGATCCCTTGGGGTGAGGGCTGATGCTCTAACCACTGAGCCCACCAACCAGAGCTCAGTAAGTTTTTTAGAAAGGAATGTAAGCCTAAAGAATATAACTGGCATTCTAATTCAGATATCATGGCATAGGGCCGAGGGGGCAGGGATGGATGTATATCCATGGTATCCTGTTGCACTCAACAGTTAGAACCTCCAGGAAAGTAAAAAGTAGGAGAAACTAACTTCATTCCTTGTCCCTCATGAGCATCCTGACCCATCTTCCTCTCAAATGTGCTCACTGTTTTGGCCTTGACAGTGTCTTTGGTACCTCTTCCAGACCTGCTTATCCTTCCTCTACGTACGTTCCATAGTTCCACATTACTTCCAATCTTTCATTTCCTCTTCCCACCTCTGCCCATTTAAAACTAAGCCATGATAAGAGTATTGTATTAGCTTACTCATGTAAAATATTAGAACTTTCTAAATAAGTAATTTGTTATTAAGTGATGTTATTTTTGAATGATAGGCTGACTCTTATTATAGCATGTTTTTACTAAATAATCACAGATAACACAATGTGCCAAGTACTATTGTAAGCACTGGTTAAATACTAATTCATTTAATTCTCCACACCCCAGACCTCACCTATAATTTTTGCTCTTTCCTTTAAACTATCTCTCTCTACCTCTGGGAACCTAAGACATGCCTAAAGAAGAGGGATCAGACATCAGGACTTGTTTCTTAAATGCTTACCATCTCTGCCTCAACAAGTATGACATTTAAGAAACAGTCATTCTTCTATTTTCCTAGGATTATTGTGTTCCAGGTAAAAGAGACTTCAGAAAAGTAGTAGATAGTCAATATTTGAGGTAAACTTATGAAAGCCTTATAAATTGTTGGCTATTAAAACCATTAACATTTTTTTAAATTGTGGTAAAATAGACATAATTTAAATTTAACATCTTGATTTTCTAAAATATATTTTTAATTTCAGAGAAGAAGGGAGAGGGAGAGATAAAAACATCAATGATGAGAGAGAATCATTGATCTGCTGCCTCCAGCACACCCCACTCTGGGGATCAAGCCCACAACCCAGGCATGTGCCCTTGGCCGGAATCAAACTGGGGACCCTTTGGTCCACAGGCCAACACTCTATCCATTGAGCCAAAACAGCTAGCGCAACATCTTGATTTTTAATTGTACAGTTCAATCACGGTAAGTATATTCACATTGTTGAGCAACCAATCTCCAGAACTTCTTCATCTCGCAAAACTGAAACTAAAATATTTTGAAGAAGCTAAAATAAACAGCAAAATGGCACCTCAAAATAGGCTATATTCATGCCATTTTAAATACATTAAATAGCATGAGGTTTGCGGTGTTAATCTCCATTTACCACATCTACCTGACTGGAAACTTTCAAGATCTCCATCTCCCCAGTTTCACAAATTAGATTTGCTTTGTTCCAGATAATTTACGCAATAAGAGACCTTCCTTGTACATCAGGTCTTCCATCGCATATCCAAAATTTCCACTGAGGAGGTGGAAAAAGAGTTCCCAAGGCAGAAATGGCATTTTAGGCAGAAGAATTAGTGTGAGGTGAGGCAGAAGGTCTGGACAAACAGAAAGATAGCTTCACATGTGCCATACTCTTGGGTCATTTAAACAAAACAGTCTGTGAAAAGCAGTAAGGTACTCTACCTTGATACTCTATTGCTGTGATTACTTGATGGTCTTTTGGGTCAGACAATCCAAAGGTCTTAGGACCTGGAAGATTAAAACAGATAGGATAATTAAAATAGTGCAAGAGGTCTTTTTAAAATGTTTGAATGGGATGTACGGGATGCCATATTAAAGAAAACAGGCCTCAAGTTTGGTGACAGTTTCATATAATTCGCAGCACATAAGTTTTAAAGTATCAAAATAAGAAAAACCAAGCCAAACCATTATATATCTCTTCCGTGTTCTGTATTGTGGTTTTACCTTTTAAGCATTTTCCAAAGCAGAACCCATAAATCTACTAGGGTCCCCTGAAAGACAACACCCTTTCACAAGCCTGACTGTTAAACAAGAGTGTATGTCCTTAATCAGCTAATATATAATCTTGTGTCAGAGGATATTGCAAATTTTTAGCACCTCTTTCAAGGATATAAACTGTTTAGGAACTTATCCCTGACTGTACCTTCATCATATGAAAATGGGTCATTATGGTAATTATGGTGGCTAATGTGATCTGAGAGTTATACAGGGATGATGATGATGGTGATATCATCATGCCCATAACCTTATATAAAATTTCACTTTAAAAGTGTTCATACATACTTTACTTTTATTCTATAAAATTCAATATTCAGAGTGACCTGCTGTACTAGACATTACTTTTTTTAAATTTTATTTTATTGTTTAAAGTATTACAAATAGTAGTACACATGTCTCCTTTTTTGCCCCCCATTGACCTTCCCCCAGCCTCCCCTCCACCGGCACATGCCCTCAACCCCCCCACTCCCCCAGTGTCTTGCGTCCATTGGTTATGCTTATATGCATGCGTACAAGTCCTTCGGCTGATCTCTTACTTTCTTTTAAAGTTTTAAAATTTATTTTTCAATTACAGTTGACATACAATATTCTATTAGTATCAGGTATACAACATAGTTATTGACTTTCATATACCTTATGAATAGACATACTAAGACTGGAAGAACCAAGTAGCAGAACCAGGAATTAAAACTTTCTAATTCAATCTTTGATATGTATCATTATGTGTTATGGATGTCATTCTACCGTCAGTTTCAAGACCATATTTAAAAATAATTTAAATCATTTCCTATAAGTATATATATCTGAAATATAAATGCTACTGTGAAAGATTTTTACCTGTTGTACTCTCTGATATAGCCCGAACACCTAGAATAGTACCTAGCATAAATCAAGGCAGAATAAATATTTGTTGAATGCATAAACAACACCCTTCCGCATTGTATACTATTGAGAGGATTCCAGTAAATGGGATCAGGTCAAACCAACACTAATGAAGGGTTCCTGAAGGCAAGCAATTCACTGGGGAAGGTGTCGTAAGTATGCAATACTGGACTGGTATTAATTACTTCAAAGTCAGAATACAAAGCATGCCTGCTGGTTAGCTTAAGAAAACAATTTAGGTAAAATGATCCGACTGCTGCTATTCATTATTCACCCCCAACTCATATATGAAATAACCTAAGACCAAATTAAACTGATCATAAAAACCTAACCGTTATTTCTCGAATATGTTTCTACAATGTACTAGGAGTGCTGTTTCGCTGTTCATGTTATCATCTGGCTCTGTCTTTATAAGATCTACAAGCCTGTTTTCGCCAAGGCAAAAATGATTCCACTGTTGCCTTATCCAATGGACAGTTTTTAGTGTTTATCTTACTTAATCTCTCTCTGACATCCGACTCTGGTGACTTCCCTGGATTGTGTGACATGACTAATCTTCATTCTGTAACCCTTGTGGGCTCTTTCCATCCATCATCCATCCATCCAGAAATGGCTTTTCTGACTCAACTAACTCCTTTCTATATAATTTCTTTTACTCTCATCCATTCAACAACCATTTATTTGCTAAAAAGTCCTAAATCTGTATATCCAGCTCTAATTTGTCTCCTGAGATTATACAGTGATGATGATGAGATTAAATCCACAAACTGCTCTTTCTATAGGTTGTCTATATCTCCATTTCCTATAAGAACCACAAACTCATAGGCAAAAATAAACTCATATGTTTACCCCTAAACATTGTTTTCTTTCTATAAATCCTATCACAGTGAAAGACACCACAATCCACATGGTCACTCATGCCAGAAATTTAGGTATTGCCCATGATGTAACATCATTCCATCTATTTACTCATCAGTTTCCATCTATAGACTGAGAATTGTGTGCCGTACAAGACAATGTTTTGGAATATTTGTCCTCCCCCACCTTATGCAGCCAAGAGTTCTTTGCCTCAGGAGGGGATGTACGAAGTCAAAACCAGAGAGAAAAAAGCAGTGTATTTCCAGCCTTTCCACATCTGGAAACCTTGACTATGAGGGAAACGGAAATGAATCATAGCTGATGCAAACGTTTAAAAAAAAT